CCCTGACTGTGACCCTGACCTGGAAAACCCTGGCAGTTCAGTAAAAGGCAATTGTGGCAATCCATCCATCGGCATCTTCTTCTTCTGCAGCTACATCATCATCTCCTTTCTCATTGTGGTGAACATGTACATTGCTATCATCCTGGAGAACTTCAATGTGGCCACGGAGGAGAGCAGTGAACCCCTCTGCGAAGATGATTTTGAAATGTTTTATGAAATCTGGGAGAAGTTTGACCCAGACGCCACCCAGTTCATTGCGTACAGTACCTTGTCTGACTTCGTAGACACCTTACAGGAGCCCCTCAAAATTCCGAAGCCAAACAAGATCAAACTAATCACCATGGATCTACCAATGGTTGCTGGTGACAAAATCCACTGTCTGGATATCCTCTTTGCCCTGACTAAGGAAGTGCTGGGAGATTCAGGAGAGATGGATGCCTTGAAGGCCACCATGGAGGAGAAGTTCATGGCTGCAAACCCCTCAAAGGTTTCCTATGAACCCATAACCACCACTCTGAAAAGGAAACACGAGGAAGTCTGTGCTACAAAAATCCAGAGGGCTTTCCGGAGGTACCTCCTGAGGCGCTCGGTAAAGCAGGCGTCCTACATGTACAGGCACAGTAAGGACGAAGACGCCCTGAGAGAGGACGCACCCGAGAAGGAAGGTCTGCTCGCCACCAAAATGCACGAGATGTATGGGAACAGTGGGACAGATGTGGGGACAGCCCCTGCCTTTGGTCTTGCACCCGTTCCCAGCTCAGAGACGGGAGACACTCCTGGCGAAGTAAAAGCATGGGATAAAGAACACGTTGTGAAAGAGTCGCTGGTATAACAGAAAGAGACTTCCATCTCTCACCCAGCCTGAAAAGACTTCATTTGTATCTCCTTTTCAAGAGCTCTTCCATCTACCGATCAATAGATCTTAGATACTGAGCTAATTTCAGATATTTCAAGTAGACACCTTAACTTTCAAAGCAGGATTTCTTACTGATCCTGGGTTTTACAGCTCACTGCACTTGCGAAGGGTTTAATAATTATTTTTCTTATGAGACTTAAATGTGAAATCTGTTGTTGGTGAAAGAGAAACATTTTAGTTTTGAAATGATCTCATCATGGTAACGATGTTTTTCAGACATTAACAAATGAGTATGGCTGTTCATTTGCTTAAAGTAATTATTTATTAATGTTATTTCACAATTAAGAGATTTTCTTGTATATTATTCTTCCACGTGCAGCCAAGTAGCCAGTGAAAGATGAGCCAAGTGAAATAATATTAAGAATAATTACAGAAAAAAAAAGGTTTTGTGAACAAAAATCTCCAATGTCTTAAAGTAGCACCTTTCTTTTGAATATTTGAATAAGCTTTATGAATTATTTTTTTGTTATATACAGAGAAAGTGCAATTATGTCTTAAAGATTTGTTTGCATAGCCAAAACAAAGCATCTGCAGATATGTTCTCAGGGTTAAATATCAGGTTTTAAAGGTCTCTGAATATGCATTGAAATCATAAATCATTCAGGTCTCTACAGTACGAATGTAAACAGTATTCATAGTCATGCTTCTGTTTTCCTGTTTCATCCAGATTTTGTGGCAGGAAAGCAATGAACGAACGTAGGGTTTGTAAAACCTCCTCCAAGAATCCCCAGTCCCAGTAACAAAACTGTCTAGGGCTTCTTTGAGCCCCATAACAAGAGGGAATGTGCTGCTGGAGCGCTCTTGGTTAGCGTTGATTAACGAGGCGCATCCCCGGGGATCGGAGCAGGTGTCTGAACGGTCCTTGCAACGAGCTGCCTCAATAGGGTCCCTCAAACCCCATCAGCCACCAAGCACCGGGGGCCTTAGTGCTCCCACCGGGGTGTAAATCCCAAAATACTCAGGCAGAGCATCCTTCCCCTGGCTGGGGCTCTGGAGAGGACCCGGTGGCACGTGCTGGGGTCTCTGCAGAGCCTGATGGAGCCAGGCAGGTCCTCACCAGGAAACCTCCCAGCAGAGGAGCATTTTCCCAGGGGGGAAGGGTTTTGCTGCTCTTTACACAGGTGGGCAAAAGGAAAGTAGATCAAGACAAAAGTGCAAAGGGCCCCGAGTTCATCTCTGGACCGCCTTCTGCCCTCAAAAGGGAAAAAAACCTCTTGAGATCAAAACAAACATGAACCAAAACCTCTTCCAGTTAAAACAAGGGCTGCTTCTTGAAGCTAAAGGGTCTGTCTTTTTGTATTATTGTTATCTTTTTTTTTTTTTTTTCTTGGGCTGATTTTGGCGCTGAGCCGTTACAGATGCCCCATGTTCAGGCTGGCCAGGAGCGGTGCTGAGCTTGCTTGCGTCCACACGCTGTCGGCCAGGCAGCAGAGCCGGGGTCGCTCTGCTCATCCCGAAGCGTTCCGCTTTCGTTTCCACGTTGCACAGGGTGATGCTCCCTGGAACAGGAGCCTGAGCTGCTTTAAATGGCGTTTGTGTAGGAAGCATCCATGGCATGGCGGTTTCCAGCCTGGGTTGTGGTTCACAATCCATGCTGCTTGTACGTATGTGTCGTCAGTGATGGGTAAAATGCTGAAGAGCAGGATCTGTGTGAGCTAAAGCCATTTTTTCTTTGTACATTTCTTAAAATAAACAACTATAAATGGTCTATTATTACAATACCAAATGAGTTGGTGTGTGTTAGAGGGGGAAAATGTTTTCCCTACACCTGGGAGGGGTAAATGTCCCCTCCTCTTGCTCCAGGGCAGATATGGGGAGCCCCTGGGCATGCCCTTGGCCGGACCTGCCATCCTCAGCAGGACCTGGCGGTCCCATCCTGCACAAGAGACCCCCCCCGGGCTGCCTCCCCCTGGTACCTCCAACCCAGCCCAGACTCCAGCGTTTCTGCTCTGCCCATGAACAAGTCCCCTGGAGCCCTCGGTGCCTCACAGCGACGAGCCTTGGCTCTAGGAGCTATAGGAGGTGCTGCTGCAGGTTCAACCAAGGAGAGAGGTGGGCTTGGAGGAGGTGCAGACCCCTGGAGCTGCCACGTGCCAGGGTCTGGGGGGGCAAACCTGCCCTCCCGGCCACGTGGGAGCAGTTCAGCGTCATGGGGAGAAGGCAGGGGTGGGCGAAGGAGGTTTCTGCGTCAATGTGTGGCTGGAGGAGGAGCCGCCTCTGGGACCTGTTGACGTCCCCGAGGGCCACGGCACAGCCTCACCACCGTGTTTTCATTCTCTCTGGAACAGCTCGTCCCAGCACTGGCATAATTCAAGTTGAGAGCATCATGGTACCACGCAAGCAGGGGGCTGGAGGGAGGAGGTGGCACAACCCACCATCCCTGTCCTCCCACGCCGGGGGAAAGGACAGCAGTGAAACCCAAGCCCTGATGAATAGGAATAGGCTGGGGAAGGATCAGCTGCCTGTCCAGAACTCTGCTCTGCTCACAGGGCATGGTCTGGCCGCGTGCTGTGGGCTGGTGGCCCAGGGGAAGAGACGTGGGGACACAGGACACTCCTCGTGAGAGCATCAGCTCTCCCTGCATCCCACGGCACTGGATATTGCAAGCACAGAGGACTTCAAGGGGAGGCTGGGACCCTCTGGACCAGGTCTGTGCCTGTTTGAGGTGCCTGCAGGCAGCGCAGCAGGGCAATTTGGCCACTGTCACTGCAAACCCTCTTTAGTTTGTGCCTCACTCCTGGTTTTGCCTTACAGGACTTTCCCTTGCACCTCCATCATCCCTGACTTGCTCATCATAGCTCCAATCTCCAACCTCAGGGCTTGATAAAAATCTCTCCAGTGCCTGCCAAGCACATGGGCATCCCCGGGATGTCACAGCGAGGCTGTGCTTTCCCAACAAGACCAGAAGTGATGACAGCAGGGACTCAGCAGCACAGCCCTGACATACAGCACTCTGCATGGCACGACCTGCCTCCTCTACCAGAAGACACCTTTCCCACCATCTCTCCTTCCCTCCTGGGGCCAGTCTTTCTCCAGAAACCTTTATTTCTCCTCTCTTGCTTCACATCCCCTCATATACAAGAAATATACACCTCATATACAGCCACCGGATGCTCAGAACCAGCAAAAAACCCACCAAACCTGCAGAAGGTAAAGTTTGGGGAGGCCCCAGTCAGAGATACCCGGGCTCTGGGGACCAACACTGTTGGCAAAAGTACCCAAAGGTGTTTTTCACATGGAGTTACAGTTCAGTGCTCACCCACAGCTGGTAACACGCAGCAGCCGGAGGGCACAGTGTGGAGGGAAACCATATTTCTGTGTCAGAGTAAAGGGGGACAGAGCTCACCTTGGGGTGCCATGTTGTGCTTCCCCAAGAAATGGTTGTCTCCAAAGGACTCATGGAGAAGGGTCTTGATCATGGCAAATGGGGGGTGGTGAAGGAGCGGGCATGGCTGGCACCAAGGGAGGTGAGACCTTGCTTTGGCCATCTCTCTTCTCTTCTCTTCTTTTCTCGATTTCACCCCTCCCTGGAAGGGCAGCTGCGAGGACTCTCTGGGATGCTGGGGACAGGAGCTGGGGGACCAATTCCACTGCGCCCCACAATGAGCAGGACAAAGGAGAAACCCCACAAACATCCCCTCTTCTTACGCCATTCCTGCTCTGACTCTTGCAACAGCTGCTCCCCATCACCTGCAGGACCGAGCTGGGGGGGGATCTGCCCACCCTGCTGTGGAGCTGGGGTACAACCCTGCAGGTAACCCCCATCCTCTACCCCCCCAGGGATGTGGCAGTGCCAGTGGTCCCATCCCACTCCCTGGGCACATCCCCCGTGCTCAGCCCAGGTTTTTCATCGCCAAGCGCTTCGCCAATGGGCTCATCTCCAGTTCAGGGGCAGACCCGCACCGGCCATGGTCACTGCCATCAAACAACCCCACCATGACGAGCACAGCCTGGAGACACGAGGTTGGCCGGTGCCCAGGGTTTGGGCATCGGCCACCCCAGCGTCTGCGCTGCATTCAAAACCAGCCCCGAGGGGAAAGTCCCCGTTGGGGAGGATTTACATGAGCAGGAAAGGGGCCGTCTCGTGTAGCAGCAGCTTTGCCATTTTTAGGTACGGAGGCCAAGCCAGTTGGAGCGACCGCTGTGTTTTGCAGAAGCGAGGGCTGACGACTGGATGTTTCCCAGCCATTTGCAGTGAAAGATGGCTGATCTTTGCACGAGGCTCTGGGTGCTTCTGGCAAACCTCTGGCTGATGGCTCTGGTCACAGGTAGGCGTCAAACATGGGCTTTGCATTTCAGAACGAAGAAACGTGCACCCAGGCGACGCGCCAGCACGTCTCCCTTGCTCAGTGCCATGAGGGACTTCACCCAGATCTGGGCCTTAAATGCTTTAGTTTTAAACTTTGCAATCGCCACTCTTAGCCCTGCTTTGTGCAGGAAGCCAGCCCCAGGCGCAGCGGAGCTGGGGAGGACCCGCAGGGGCTCGGGGCTCAACGCCTGCCTCAGGTTTTGGGGTTTGCTTGCTGTTGGGGTGCAGGGAGGAGCACAGACATGGGACACTTTCTTGGGTGGCTGGCCGGCTTTGGCAGGAGGCCGGTGCCAAGTGGGTGCAGAGCCTGCCTGACTGTGGTTGCAGGTGGCAGGAAAAAAGGATTGCAGTTTTTTTTACCATTTATTGCTCTCAGAGGCCTGAGGACAGGGCCAGCACATTGCTGAGACCATAGCCAAGCCACATCCCTTTGCTCCACGGGGTTCAGTGCCCGAGAGCAGAGGAGAAATGACAGGAAAAAGGCTTTTGAGAGTGATTTCTGGGCCCTGTGTGAACATTCCTATGCTGTTCCCCTTTGCAACCCCATGAAAAAGCAGCAGCTAAACTCAGGACATGGCTCCTGTCCCCTTCCAAGCTCTCTTGCTTGGTGCAAGACAAAAAAAAAAAAAAAAAAGACACCCAGAAAAACCTGCAGCAGATCCCACCCTCAGCTGGGGAAACCTGTGCCCTCAGGAGAAAGGGCACTTAGAGGGCTTCTGATGGGTGGCCACCCAAGTCCAGCACAGATTCAAGGTCACAGGGTTTCATCCTGGATCTTGTGGTGGCTTCAAGAGAAGACAGGGGAAGCTCAGCCCACCTGTGGTTGTAATGGAAATCTTGGCTTCGAGGGGTGTGAGGACTTTCAGGGCGAGGGACCAGCCTGGTCATCATTTAGAAACACCAACAAAACACGGAGAGCAAAGCCCTGCCTCTCAGCTGGCCAGCAGGACTGCAGGTGGCACGGACACCAAGGCACAGCCCGGACAAGGCGCCTCTCCCCATCCTGGAAGAAAATTAAATGAGGCTGGAGGGGAGAGTTTGCCTGCAGAGGTGTAGGTGCTGGAGGTGAACAAGGCCTGGAATAGGCTCTGGGGCAGGGAGGGGCTGAGCCAGGAGGTGCGTGCAGGAAGGTCTGCAGCAGGGTGGCAAGGCTCGGGGCAAAGCTCAGGCTAGGGATTTGAACCTTCCTTCCTTCTTTTCTTCTTCTGGGGGGAGTTTTACAGCTGCCCCAATGTGCTGGGAGGTGGTGCAGCCCCCGCCTCCATGCCAGCTTCCCCACCACGGGGTTTGGCAGATATTCATCAAGCGGACGGAGCTGGGCGCTGAAGCGGTGCGGTAAACAGCGCTGGTGCTTCCTGCCCAGCTGCAGCAAGAGGAACCGAGGCACAGGGGCACTGGAGCTGTGGGCAGGGGCACCCATGGGTGCTGGTGGGTCCCCGCCTCATCCCGCTTCCTGCGCTGCATTGCAGGTCCCACAACTCCATCCAGCCCTGGTCCCAGGGGGCTGCATGGGCCTGGCGTCCGAGAACCCCCCTGGCCATCACAGGGCTCCAAGCCCAGGGAAGGCCCAGCAGGGAAAGTGTTTCTGGTTGATTCTGAAAAGGAAAAGTGTAAATAAAGAGATATGAGTCTATCTGGAGCCTTTCTGAGAGGTGCCAGCCTAGGGGGATATTAATAGCAAAAGCAGGTTTCACTGGGATTTCAACCAAAAAGCAATTTAGTGAGAGAAGGTTCAGAAGGGATAGAAACAGAAGCATTTGTACCCAAATCTGCGCTGCTCCATGTCCTCTGAGTGGGGCTCTGGTTGATGCTTCCAAGGGCTCCATCCCGTATGGACTGGGAACAAAGGACCCACAGTACATGCCATCCAACGTGGGACACCCTAAATGGGCTCCTGGCCACTATCTCAGGGCGTTTCTGTCTTGCAGGTGGGATCTCAGCAGACAAGAACAACACCACGAACAGCACAGGTAACTCCCAGACCCATCAGGCTCTTTCCCTGCGAGTGTCCCCTGGGTCCCTCCTGCCCCACTGGCTGTGCCATGAAGGTGCCGGTCCCCTGCAGAGCTGGACGTGTCCCATCACCCACAGGCCTTCTCCATCATAAAGACAATTCCCAAGCTGTGACCCCCTCCATGGCATTTCCCCAGTCCTGCACCTTGCTCTCCCTCTGCAAAGCCGCATCCATTTCATCTTTCCTAAGCACACACGTTTTCCCTCTGAGTTTGCAGAGCACACTGCATCAACAAGCCATGCCTTGGGAGCAGGCGTTGGTTCTCATGCACGCAGCACTTGTGCCATTCCCACCCACAGGGTAGGAAGCATGAGCTCTGCAACCCAAACGAGTCCTCAAACTCACCAGCTCTGGGATCAAAAGATGGGCAAAAATACAAAAAAACGGCAAAATAGAAAAAATGTAGAAGCATGAGAGAAGCCAGGTGGGGACATGGGGCTGTCCTAGCAAAGGCTCCATGGTGTGTGCCAGCACAGGCTGTAATTTTGGAGCTGGGACTAACAAGATGTACGTACGCAGAAAGGGGTGGGAGAAGCAAAAAGGTATTTGAGTGAAGCCACTCTCAAAAAACTGGAGTTTCCACTAAAAGCACGTTTATACCAAAAGTCTCTGATTTCTACCCCCAGACAATGATGATTCACCAAACAAAGCTGAATGGTCAAAAGCAGTATAATCCATGAAAATGGAAAGCTCTTGATTTGGGGATGCTGGGGGGGGGGTCTCATGGGAGCAGCTTTTTTTCTGATGATCCCCGGGGTGCTGGGTCCTTGCTCGCCACGACCACCCTTGTCCCCTGGCAGGCGGCGGGTGCCCCATGGTGCAGCAGCACCCACGGTACGTGGCGGCCAAGAAGAACACGCCCGTCCACTTCATCTGCTACACCCAGGAGCCCCATAACGTGCAATGGTACAAAACGGTGGAGGACAGCAATGACTTCTACGAGCTGGATCACAACACCTCCCGCTACAGCATTACGAGGAAAGACAAGTTAATCAACTTCACCATCTTCAGGATCACCTACGAGGACAACGGCATCTACGTGTGTGACAGCAAGAACCTCATGGTGGAGAAGAAGCAGCCGCACTTGTGCGGGACAGAGCTCAGAGTCATGGGTGAGTGGGAGCTCCTCATCCTCCGTGCACCCGAGCAGGTGTTCCTTCTCCTTTTCTCACCCTCTCCCCCTCCATATGAACCCCACATCATGTTCCTATGCATCCACCCCTCCCCATGCTGGTGGGACCCCTTCAGATACAACTCTAGATGCTCCATGGCACCTCAGAGGTTTCTTTGCTTGTTGCCAGTCACCAAGCAGCAGGACAACCTCCCCCTCTTTGCCCTGGCATGTCCATCCCTCAGAAGCACATCCCAGGGACTGCGTCCCCCTAATAAATCAGATTTTTCCTGGTCCTGGCTAGTGGTGTGTCCTGCCCAAGGTGTCTCATCCCAAAGCTGGTCCCTGATGCCAACCCTGAGGACCGTTTGCAATGCTCTCGTCTCTGCCAAGGGGGGAGGGCATGTCACCCCAGTCCCCCCAACTGCTCTTGCTGACACACAAACCTCTGGCCATGTCAAGCTTGTGCCCATTCCCCGAGAGCCTGGCACAGAGGTGGGACTTGGGGCTCTCCCTGTGCTGCTGCTCCCAGGTCACAGTAACATCCAGCAGCTCCAGAGCCGGAACACCCTGAAAGATGCCATCATCATCATCCAGTCCATCCTGCTTGTCATCTTCATCAGTGTTCCCGTGCTCCTCTTACTAGATAAAGTAAGTGACGGCGTCTCCAGCAGCGGGGATGTCCCCAGCTTCGCTGCTGCTGTGCTCACAGCGGTGTCCTGCATCCCATGCAGGACGCTGCCAGGGATGGGGATGGGCAGGCATTGGGTTTGGGGCTGTTGCATGGGAGCGTGGCCAGCTGAAGTGGGAAAAGAAGCATCTAAACCAGTGTGTGGGCCTGTGTGGAGTTGCCTGTGGAAGCGGTGGGACCTGGCCTGGGCAGACAAGGCCGGGGACAGCGGATGGGGGATCCGGTGGGTGCTGACACCCAACCTGTGACTCTCCTCTCCATAGGGTGAAAGCAAGGAAAGCCCGGAGGAGGACCACACCTACGAGGTAATGCTGCAATAATTATAGAAGTACCTCTGTAATATCGACCTGAGCCTTAAAATAACCAGTTGTGCCCTTGCTGGGTGTCTGCTAGCCCACCAGCCCTCACAGGGCACATCAGGGCATCTTCCTCCCAAGTGCCCATTGCGCATCAGCCTTAAAGAGCTGCTCATAAGACCAAGCCAAGCTCTGAGCACATCCAGCCATCTATCTCCATCTTGTCCCCTCTCAGAAGCTGTCCTGGTCTCTGGGGGAACAGCCTGGAGATGGGTGCCCACCCAGGGGTCCCAAGTTGGGTGCGCTACGGATGGAACCATGGTCTGCCTCCCACATCTCCATCTCCTTCTTCTTGGTGCAGGGTCTGGAGGTGGAGCAGATGGCCACCTACGAGGACATCACTCCTTTCCGGGACGTGAAGGCCAAATGGACAGTTGGGGAGCACCCGGGTGAAGAGTGAGGGGTCCTGCACCGGCACCGGCGGCACGGCTCCCTGCCAGCACCCTGCCAGCACCCGTGGGGACGGGCCCCCGGCTCCTGCCCTGGACCACGGCTCTGCCTGGATCCCAGGCTGCGATCCCGGGCTGCCAACCACCTCCAGCAGCCTTGCGCAGAGCTCGGGTCCTGCTGCCCTTGGGTGCTCGCTTTGCCGCGGCCGGGCTGTGCCCACCAAGGCTGCCCTGCCCCGGCTGTCGCTCTCACCGCCCCACTGATGAACCCCTAAAGCCTATGTAGAAATAAGGAGCCACCTGCAATCCCCCCGGTAGCAAACTGGCCCCAAACCTCAGGCAGCCCCACAGCATGGTGCTGAGCTCCTGCATGGTCACCGCAAGGGAGTCCCAGGGCAGGTGGTGGGTGTCCTCCAGCCCCACCATCCCTGGGAAGGAGAGGACCAGGCGCGATCACTCTCTGTGTTGCGAGGACCCTCCTGGGCTGCGAGACCCCGCTGCAGCCCTGGCAGAGGAGCCAAGGTGAGCCACACCACCTGGGTGTTCTAAGAAGTGGATTTTGGGCCACTCTTTAGCTCTCAAGCCACGGATGTGTCCAGCAGGCCAAGCTGGCAGTTGTCTGTGATGAAGCATCCTCCAAAAGCACCTCTTTCTCCCCAAAGACTCCAGGAAAAGCTGGGGAGGCAGCTCTCACCTAGATGGTCTTGCACAAGTCTTGCTCCTCTCCAGGCATGAGCTGGTCACAAGGACAAGCCCCCATGGTGAGGGACACATCCAACCTCAGACCCTGTGGGAAAGATGTAAACTGTGGGACACAAATGTCCAACTGCTTTTTCAAGTCTTAATAAAGGTAATGGGTAAAATCGCATCGTGCCCCGTCCTGCCACGCCCGGTCCCATAACCCTGGTGCCAGTGTTGGTGGGATGCCCCTGGGAACAAGGAGCAGTTTGTCATGGGTCTAGCTGAGCTAGAAACTAAACCTGACCTCGTCAAGTCCCCGAGCGCAGGCAGGGATGTAAAGCCGAGAGCAGCCGTGGGGCAATCCTAGATGCTCTCGCTGAGCATGAACGGGGGCACCGCTGCGGTCCCAGGATGTCAGCGGGGGCTGAGAGACCATCGCCAGGAACCCAAGCAGAACAGGGCCCAGGACCAGCAGCTCCATCCCCGGATATAGCTGATCTCGGGAGAGAAGCTGAAAAACATCCGGAGAGGAGCAGAGCAGCGCTGATTGGTTTTGTTAATAAAACCGATTTTGGCAGGGGAGCAGCAGCAGCGGTGCAGGTGATGGGGCTGGGGGCTGGCTGGGCACCCAACACCAGGGCTCGGGGGGGCCGCAGGGGCACGGCCAGCACAGCGCCGTGGGTTCGGTGGCTTCGGCTGGAGCAGGCAGGACAAGGGGGTGGCGAGGACTTTGGGGCTGGAAGTCTGTCCCCCGTCGGAGAGCCCAGGGCCCCTGCGGCTTGCCACGTTTCGGGCCCCGAGGAGAGGAAGGCAGGACTGCTCTGCTTCCCAAAGCAGCCGGCAGAAAAGGGAGGGTAAAAACATGAGCAAACAGGACTTTTCAGCAGGAAACAGGATGGTTCTTGTTTAGTAGTAAACCACCTTCGCGGAAAACTGTTATTCAATCTAAATAGCACAGAACAAGCATTTTAAGGCAGATTTTTACTAGTTAAATAAAACTATCCCAAATTAGTTGCATGCACGCGTATATAAATGTTACTTTAACATGTTTTACTTATAAAACTGATTAATTAAAGGAGTGTTCACAGTGGGAGAAGTGAACTGGCTGTTCCCAGTTTCCACATTGGCCAAGATTTTAGGAATAGCAGAGCTCATCCCTCCATCCCTTGTTTTCAGTTACAAAATGGAAGAGGAAGGCAAACTTTCTGGCCTTCCCAGTTCCCAACCGCTTTCTCAGCTCTGTGTAAACAACTCACTCAACTGCCTTAACCGAATTGTACAAAAATAAGGAGAATCTGCTGTTTGCACCTGGAGAGGAAGCCACTGATGTCAAACACAGTTTCGGCGACCCCAGTTCTGCTCTGCTGCCTGGCCACCCTCACAGCCCAGGGCTTTGGCTTCCTTTAAAATGCCAGAAGCAAATACATTTTTCTGTGGTGTTACTGTTTTATTTTAAATGCTTAGACTAGTTTCTAGGGAGCCAAGAGATAGGGTTTGTTTTAATTTTATCTTGAGATAGGTTTGTATTTAAAAAGCATTTAATGTTAATAAATATATTTCGGTATATACAGTCCAGGCTCTGTATTTTGTCCTGATTTGTATCCCTACCATCAGCAGGATGGCCAGGCAGACAGCCTGGCTTGCACACCTGGACCTCTTCAGCCTCATCTTTACAAAAGGGTTCCATGAAACTGAGCAGTTCTAGTTCCAGTAAATAAAACTCATGAATTCAATCTGAAAAGGAATATTTACCTCTCAGGTAGTAAGCTAGCAGACGTAGTCAACCGTCACTTAAAACCTGTGTCAGCCACGTCGTTGCCCACCGACGTGCAGAGCCTGGGCCAGCAGCTGGGGACTCGCTCAGGACTCACTGGTCCCAGCAGCACGGGAAGGTCCTCTCCACACAACCAGCCCAGGCTGGGGGTCAGGAGCACCCAGGAGCATACACGCCTGCAAGAAAAGTTGCTTCACTTGTTTAAATGCTGCTGGTGATGCTCAGGGTAAGGCTGGTGGACACAGGACCACCCTGAAGAGAATTAAGGGGTTTTTCCTCTTTCAAAAAAAGAAAAGGAACTTCAAAATTACAGACTGTCACGCTGCTTTACGAGATGCTACTTTGGGCCACAAACGCAGGCATTTGAAAGCTAGAAAAATGCCAAGCTGATATTCCAGAGCTGCTTATGCAGCTGTAATTCTGCCAGTGGCATGTGTTTGCTCAGCCCAGCATTCCGCAGTCACACACTGCCTTCTCCACGATGCTTCTGCCTCATTTAATGCCCGGAGATGATCAGGGACAAACCAAGCCTCAGGGGCACCACACAGCCTGGATCATCCTGGTATCTCTGTGCTTGGCTGCAACTTAAAAAAATGTTGATTTACCACCATGCTTTTACTCACAGAGCTAGAGAGGCAGCAGGGCAGCAAGTGATGGGCAGGACTTGGGCGCAACGTGCTGCACCCATCTCACTGCAGTGGTCGAGCATCATCATTAACAGGCAGCAGAGCCTGGGCGGGGGTGCCTGCTGCTCTGCTCATCTCTGACAAATATTGACATATTTAAACACGATCTGGAGTAGAAAAACACACCCAGATGTTGCCGGCTATTGGGTGACGGGATACCTGATAGCTGCAGGACCCACTGTTCCCTCTTCTCTGGGGACTGACATTTACTCTGCAACACCACCATGTCTCCAGTGAGCAAACACCCAGGGGCTTCTCGGAACAGACCGCGCTCTCCCCGGCATGTTTATTAACCGGCTCTTGCACCCTCTGCTCCAGCCGCCCCGGTGATGCTGCTGCCTCTCGGAAATCAGAGCCACGCCAGCACAGCAAACCCAGGGCCAGGGGAGCCAAATCACCACCCCTGACAAGGGAGCTGTCCCTGAACCCTGCACAATGGGCCAAAAATGGGTGGTTTGGGCACCCAGTGCCTTACAGGGAGTAAAAGTCCTTTAACTCCCCCCCTGGAGTTGCTCAGGTTCTGTCTTGTTTTGCTCAAAATCAGGGATAGGTGTGCTGTGGCTTCTCCTCTTCTCCAACGCCTTTACTTCTTTCCATATCAGCCTTTTGCTTAATCGAGAGATATTCCATGTTTGCATCTCAGAAAAGAGCAGGAGGATGATCACAACCAGATCTTCTCACAGCCTTCTCCAGCCAAGGATGTGAGAAACCTCCCACAGCTCTGGCAACTGGATTTGCTGTGGGCAGGCTGGTATCCAAAGAAGTACCTGGGTGTGACAGCTGTTTGTTATACCAATGGCAAATCAGCCCAGCAAAACTATTTGCTGAACTTTTGAAATTTTGGTAAAAATTGAAAGAAATTACTCAGCAGGAATAGGATTCATCTGACAACATCCCTCCAGCTCAATCCCCACTAACAGAAAAGGGGAAAACATCCTACTTGCTTAAAGTCCGGAGTCTCCCAAACTGGCCTGTCAGCCCCGGTAACTGTGGGCCAAGGCTGCAGAGCCAGGCAGGAAAATCAGGTGGACACCACAAACTCCACTGTGTATAAGCACTGATCTGATTTGGGATGGGTCTTCCAATGGTCAAAAAACTTTTATTCGCAATAAACAGCAGAATATGGCGAAATAATTCAGCACTGATTTCATCCCTAGGCAAACAACCTCCCCAACCTTTACATCTATGTATAAATGACTACAATTAGGTAGCACCATTGCGATCACTTGTGCATTTATGCAAGGAGAAGATATAGAGATGTTGTTGTGATCATGAACACATATATACATTTTAAACAGACCCCCTGCTATATAAGGGGTGGCTCAACAGTTACCTTTACCAGCCTACATGAAAGGAGGAAACATTCACTGTCAAGCAACACCTGAGCAACTCACCGGGCAGAAATGGCTCCAGGTACTTTTATTTATTTCAATTTTAAAGGATTGCCAGTGCTGCCGCATGCTTAGGGTGGTGGGAGATGATGGTGGGGTGGTACTATGGTGGGCTGTGCACACTCACTGCCCGCCCTACATTAAAATGTAGCAACTTACAAATCAGTGAAGAAGAATACCTTTCCCTAGAGTGTGACTTTAATCCATGAATTAACTTAGGTAGTCCTTAACCCAAACTGGACAAGGAGAGGATGAACATGAGGAACAAGGTCAAGCCACAGTTATAATAGTTGTTATTAACATAAATGTTGGCAGAGACATTAAAACTTGTATTCAGTGCTTAAGATGAGGATCTGGATGGTGTCTAATGCATATGTTCAAGTCTACAGGGTCCAGGGCATTCCTCCACTGAAGGGCATTTATCTGAGATTAACTTTGTGGTCTCTGTAAGCACAGATGGACACTTGTGTGAGTTAAATGTTATGGGTTGAGAACCTTTAGGCCCGACAAAGATCACCAAATTCTACAGGTATGTCCCAGAGAGAAAAGTAGCTGGTCACAGCACAGGTAACGTCACCAGCTCTTGTCCTAGTGATGGCAAACAGCCGGTTTCACATCAGCAGCATGGTGTAAACCAAGGCTAAAGTGAGGTACTCCCGGGCCCTCACCTGGTACTCACCATCCCCTGCCCTCATGCAATGAAGAGTGCACTTTGCTCTGCTCCTGAGGGCAAGGCCTACAGAAAAATATGATCATGTTAGGGAGAAACATAGGGACACACTCTAATTTTCATGGAGCGACAATGACTCTTCAGCCAGGAAGACAGCACTTGCAACACTGGGAGTAGTAAAAGCCCCGAGAGCACGTCTAGTGAAAAGGGAGAGGGTTTCGTTTGATTTTGGGAAGGGCTGAGCTCACCCACAGGGTGCAACAAGACATCAAGGAAGGTGAGCCCTCAGCCAACACAGACAGAAGGGGCTGGGAATTAAATCCCAGGTGCCACCTGCCTCCTCAGCATGGTCTCGGAAGGACTGCTAATACCTTTCCTCTCCACTTCACTGCAGGGTCATGGTTTTCTCCTCTCTTCATTGCTGTGATCACTCTAGGACTGCAGTGGCCACGGGAAGCTGCCACCTTCCCGGCCATGCCCCTTTCTAACCTGTTTGCCAACGCTGTGGTGAGGGCTCAGCACCTTCACCTCCTGGCTGCCGAGACATACAAGGAGTTCGTAAGTGTTGTGGCCTCCAGGCATCTCCTCCACATTAGCTTGACAGTTTCAGGACTGTATAACTTCCTAGAAACACTTTTCAACTATTGGTGAATTCTCTGTCAGTTC